ATTTGAACATACGGACACATGCTTGTACTTACTCTAATTATTGCCAAACGCATAATCTGGCCAGTTTGTCCATTTTCAAGTAATCCAGGGTTTCACCTTGAAAGCTGTACTTTTTTCTTTCTTTCGTATTTTCTTATTTTTCACCATAAGGCAGGTTTAATACTAAAAGTTCTATATTTTTTTGTCTGAAGCAAGAACTCTAGGCATTCCACTAAAATAATGAGAGGAGGACGGGGAGGCGGAGACTAACCGGCTCCGGGTGTCTTTCTCTCTCGGTCCGCCTCATCTCGACAAAACTCATTTTGTCTCTGTAGAGGAAAGTTCTCAAGTAGGCAGTGTAAATCAAGCTAGTATATTTAAGAGTAAAAAAAGATTAAAAAAAATGTGCACATTTTACTACCAACCAAGTGTTTAACCTCTGCACAGAAAGAATACTTGCATATATAAATACATATATTATATTATATATTTTTTAATTAATCAACAATGCGTCTGTTTTCTACATACAGCTGACATATATTGTACATTGAGACCATGTAATTATCATCTTGTTTCAGGAGTTTTTAAAAAATCTAATGCTATTTACAGATGTGGTTGTGTTTGGGTGTTGTGTTTTTCAGTTTGTTAGTTGTTTATTTTGGGTGCACTGTCGTTTGTTCCTGCCCATAACCACTCTTTGCCGAACGCCCCTTATTTCCAAAGCTCGCCGAGCTTGTATCAGCGATGCCGGATGCCTAAATGTCTCTGTCTCCATTTGTGGGTTTGTTCATTAGTCACTGTTTTTGGCCTGTGCTCAGGGTGTGTTCTGTGTTGGGGGCTTGTGTGCACCCAAAGCAGCTTGTGGTGCTCTATCTCTCTCTCTCTCTCTCTCTCTCTCTCTCTCTCTCTCTCTCTCTCTCTCTCTCTCTCTCTCTCTCTCTCTCTCTCTCTCTCTCTCTCTCTCTCTCTCTCTCTCTCTCTCTCTCTCTCTCTCTCTCTCTCTCTCTCTCTCCCTCCCTCTCTCTCTCTCTACTGTGTGTTCATAATTTCTTAGTTCTGGGACTTAAAAGTGGCTCAGTTTGTACCACCCAACAACCCCCCCGGCAGATCAGAGCGTCACAGCACCACCATCCCCTCGTGTTGACCACTTGCTCGACCGTCAAAGCGGACTGTGGTATCTCACTGTGGGGCATTCGTCGCAACACAGTAACCTCCGACGTTCCTGTCATCAGTACCTTTATGATGGCATTTACTTTTTTATGTAGCATTTAGATAGCAATGTCCGATTTAACCATTCAGCCTTTTCAGGGTTGTGGGGGAGAATTTACTTTTTTGTTATTATTTATAGCTGTCATAAAAGCACCATCCCTGAACAATAGTTCTACTCTCAATTGATTTCTGTCTTTCTGTGTCTTTTTTTTGTTCTGTTTATGCATGGGAGCAGATGTGTACTTGATTGCTTTAAGTCAGGGGTTTTCAAACTGGGGCCCAGGGACCACGAGAGGGGGAGTGCTTAAAGGGTTAGTTCACCCAAAAATGAAAATTATGTCATTAATGACTCACCCTCATGTCGTTCCAAGCCCGTAAGACCTCCGTTCATCTTCGGAACACAGTTTAAGATATTTTAGATTTAGTCCGAGAGTTTTCTGTCCCTCCATTGAAAATGTATGTACGGTATACTGTCCTTGTCCAGAAAGGAAATAAAGACATCATCAAAGTAGTCCATGTGACATCAGTGGGTTAGTTAGAATGTTTTGAAGCATCGAAAATACATCAAAAATAACAAAAATTACGGCTTCATTCAGCATTGTATTGTCTTCCAGTTCTGTTGTTGATCCGCGTTCAGTGATGCTGGTGACGTGTTCTCTGGTGCGCCCGAGCTTCGTTTACAGTCTGAGGGAGACGCACGCTGTAAACAAAACAATCTTTGCAAACATGTCTAAGGATTTCGACACAGAGGAAGACTTGCATTTTTTTGCCCAGCCATATTTATTTGAACCCGAATACACGGACGCACCAGATAACACGTCAGCAGCGCCTTACGTCATCAGCGTCACTGCGGACTCATGAACGCAGATTGACAACAGAACCGGAAGACAATACAATGCTGAATAAAGTCGTAGTTTTTATTATTTTTGGACCAAAATGTATTTTCGATGCTTCAAAACATTCTAACTAACCCATTGATGTCACATGGACTACTTTGATGATGTCTTTATTTCCTTTCTGGACAAAGACAGTATCGTACATACATTTTCAATGGAGGGACAGAAAAGTCTCGGACTAAATCTAAAATATCTTAAACTGTGTTCCGAAGATGAACGGAGGTCTTACGGGCTTGGGACGACATGAGGGTGAGTCATTAATGACATAATTTTCATTTTTGGCTGAACTAACCCTTTAAATCCCTGCAAAAACAAGAAAAAAAGAATTCACAAAATGTATTTTAGGGCTGCCAAAGTTAATATGTGCCCTGAAGATATTAATGAAATTTATTGACAGCACTAATTTTTAAACGTCATTTTTAAGACTTGTGCTCACCAAGGTTACATTAATTTGGTCAAATATACAGTAAAAACTGTAATAATTACAATATATAATGTTTTTCAGCAACGATTACTCTAGTCTCCAGTGTCACATGATCCTTCAAAAATAATTTGTATATGCTGATTTGGTGCAAGAAATATTTCTCATGATATATATATATATATATATATATGTTTTTTTTTTTTTTTTTTTTTTTTGATGAATAGAAAGTTCAATAAAGATCAGCATTTATTTGAAATAGAAATCTTTTGTGACATTATAAATGTCTTTACTGTCACTTTTGATCAATTTAATGCATCCTTGCTGAAGGATTAATTTCTTTCACACACACAAAAAAAACAGACCCTAAACTTTTGAATATTATATGTATGTCTCTGTAAATGTAATTTTTATGGGGAGGTTTTTCACAAAACTATACAAAAAAAGTAGTGCTGTTAATAAAAAAAGAAAAAAGATCTGGAAAGTATTTACTTGTTTTTATGACGTCACATGATATTTTCCTCAGGGTTTTTTTTATACATGGAAAATATAAAACAACCTTAATATTTCAGGAAGGGAGGCTCCAAGATGATCAAAATATTTGGGGGCCCTTGTCTCATTAATAGTAAAATCATAAAACGTGTGTAAGGCCATCTAATTTGATCCAATGGCGGTATTCGATCAGAGGTAAAGGTCTCTCGCGTGTTCCGTCTTTTCTCATGGCAAAGGGATTTTTAGTTAAATGCAATACATTTTATCTTATGTATTAACTCGTTATTTCATCTGACTCCATAAATGAAAAGGTTTTTCAATGATATCTGTGCATCATTAAATCTATGTTTGACTATTCCTTTTAACTCAAAGTCAAAGTCTGTTAGAATAATCAAATATAACAATTTATTATGTCATGTAAATGTATTATTACAATTTCATAATCAATTGAAAGATAATCAATGCAAACCATCAAATGTTCTAGAACAAAGAGGAAAATCTTTCACCCGACATTATGAAATACATGAATGCTGAGTCTCGGCGACTCAGCATTCACGGGCTGATCTGAGATACAGAAAAGGCCTTGATCTTCTAGTTGCATTTCATTATAGCCAGACCTCATTTCATATGTAAACATGAGTTCACAGTGGAAATTTACCGTGTTCATCCTCCCAGACTTACTGGGGGTAGGAGTGGACCATTTGCTAACAGTGGGGATTTGCATTCAGGAGTTTACAGCTTTTTTGGGGCAAGGATCATGTCTAAAGGGCACATTCCTTTGTGTGCCAGTTATCCCTAAACTTCTAAAAAACTGTTGGAATGAGACATCTGTACCACCCACTCTGGGACATTTAAAATGATATTAAACACAATACTCCATGATAATCATTCACATTAAACCATATATTCTTATGTGAGTTTTGGTGATCTTCCCATGTGGGATGAGAAGGAGAAGTGTAGCACGAGGGGGAGTTCAAATGTTAATTTGCTTTGTTCTCTCAGAGGGTGAGAACACTATCCTCCAGTTTTTCCAGTCTTACCCGTGTGCAAACCACATTATCCAGGTACAAATAAAGTTTTTTAATCATGCCACTACAGTAAATGACCAAGCATTGAACGTGACCTTTCACCTATTAAGAGAAGTCCAGACACAAGCGAAATGTCTTCACCCTTCGCTATTATCTCATTGACGCAACATGTTTTGACATTATCTGTGTGCTACTGAGCATCATCTAGCTGCAGGTTTCTACTTATTTCTTTCGTGCTCAGATGAAAGCCCAAGTGTTCTCATGGGAGGAACTGCCTGTAAGATGACAGTCAGCGGATGATGAGTCCCCAAGTGTAGGTCGTATGAAAGGCCAGCCTTATCTCTTCAGATGACAGAATCACTGTGACAGCTTACCCAAAGCAGCGCTGCCCCTACCCGTCACTCTCAGTTTTTAATTGAGTTTCCGGCCCTGTGCAGTTTGTGTAAGTAATAACAGACTGGAAAGATTATTTGGCCAGTAAATGTTTTTACGGTGACAACATGGGGATTCTAAAGGCACTGCATGAGAAGGAAAAAATATATACTAAAAAAAGCTACATGTATTTGCTTTCTGTAGGTTCACATTAACAAACTGAAGACAGTTAAGAACTGCCATTGAAAACCATTCATTCTTGAAGTGTGCTAGATTTATAAATTCACAGAACTACATGAGTCATTTCAGCTTGGTTTATATGCTTCGGAAAATTCCAGCACGGTTGAAAGAGAGGCCGCAGGCAGACATAAAAAAAAGCTTAGGATCAGCATTAAAACACAACTCGCATAACAACGGTTAATTTTGTGTTTATTTATACAAGTTTGTCAGGTTTTGTTTCATTTCATTTTTATCATAATCACAAAAACTGGTTAAAATGTGAGGTAAAATCAAAAATGATATTGTACTATAAAATGTATATTGGAGTCAGCTTTTCACAATAGCACCATTTTTTCCTCTTATATTGCAGCTCAAGTTTCTTTCCACTGAGATAAACTAGGGACAGGGCCGTTACTATTGCAAACCTGATATATGGCATTAAACCAACAGGAGTCATGAAACATTTCCAAAACTTTCTGGGAAAGGCAGCTGTTCTCCTCTCACTTGCCCGACTCCAGAAATGGCGGAATTCAAGGAATGCTGAAAAAGACAGACCTCGAAACCATTATAGAGGTAAACCCTGTCAATCATTGACACAATAGCTCTTCTCATATTAACAAGCACAATGTTTGGGTTGGTTACACAGTACTCTTATTCAAAGCTATCAAAGATACAAGCTACACTACAGTATATCTTGATACCCTCATGTACGTACTCGTTTGGTAACACACATGTGCTAATTCTGTGCTCTACACGCCATGTGTTCTGTAACAGTACTCTTATCACTCTCAGGCTGGGTTCTGTGAAACTTTAAAGGACACGTTCAGAGAATTTAACAAGTCAATATCAGAGGTCAATATTCCCCATTGAAAAACCTGATGGAATTTAAGATGGGGAACTGCTCTGCCATTTGCGTTTCTTGGAAGGATCCCCTGAGGTGAGTGCATGTGTTCCAGAGCTCACGGGGGAACTTTTACTGCTGTCTCCTGATGGCACATATGGCGTATGGCCGAGGCTGAAGGGTCATGCCCAGTTTCGGAGAGAGACTTGGAATAAAGCCTTCGGGGAACTGAAGGCTGAACCTCTGAAGCAATGTGGTGAAGAATAAGAACATCTCCAGCCTGGCCAACTGCTCTCCCAGACAGTGCCGCTTACCTAAAGACCATCAAAATGGATACGTTAGAATGAAGAATAACGTGACAAGGTTTAGATGTACTGATTTCCTAAATCTTTGCAGTTTACCTATTGAGAAGGGGAGAAACGCTTCATGCCGGACAAATTTGCCATTACAGTCAAGGAAGCGCTCTGGGCAGAAGATGGATGGGTCGCTCCAGTACTTCTCATCAAAGTGCACCGAGTACAAGTTAGTGATGACCATTGTGCCCTTGGGGATAGTGTAGCCACGCACCATCGCATCTTGAGACGTAGCGCGGAAGATGCCCAGTGGGACGACATTGCAAAGGCGCAGGATTTCATGCAGCACTGCCTCCACATATGGCATCCTCTGCTTGTCTTCAAGAGCAGGTGGTCTGCCGTTCAGGACGCAATCGATCTCCATTTGGACCTTTTCTGCACAGAAAAACACACGTCATTAGTGCAACGACATTAAAATGTTGTAAACGAGAACTGCTTCGTGGGCACTGGGCACCAACCTTGTATCCTGGGATATAGACCCATGTAGAGCATAGCCCAGCGCAGACAATTTGTGGTGGTCTCTGTGCCTGCAATGATGAGTTCTCCAACCGAGAAAATGAGATTATCTTGAGAAAAAGAAGTCGCTTTATCGGTGGCGCTCTGCTCCATTTCGTCCAAGTAGGCATCAATGTAATGTTGCGGCGACTGCGGAATCCTTCCCTGTGAGAAGCGATTGATGATTTGCAGAAGGAATTTGTACACCTTGTTGGCATTGCGAAACAGCTTTTGATGCTTCCCGAATGGCACGTACTCCATCCAGGGGAAGGCGTTGTACAAGAAAGCCCAGCCACTGGCGGCCAGCTCCACATTCTCACTGAAGATCTCAATCATGTGCTGAAAATCACCATCGTCGTAGGTGAAACGCTGGCCGAAGATAATGAGGTTGGTGACGTTGGAGACGGCATTGGTGACGAGATGCTTAGTGTTAAAGGGCTTCCCCTGGTGCTGGTCAATGGCATCCAGAAAAAACAGGCACTCCTCAGAAATCCTCTCAAACATTCGCTGACCACTGCCAAAGTGGCGGAAGCAGTTCACAGCCAGTTTGTGGTGTTCAATCCAGCCTCGACCATATTTGCAGTTCAGAAGTCCTAGACGGAGAATAAACAATGCGGTTGGCTTAAAAATGGAAACAAAGAAAGTTTATCTGCAAAAACTTTCTGTATGTTTAACCAGAGATTATTAGTCAAACAGCAGTCTCATGGGTTAAACACAGTTTACAAGAATTGCAATACTGATAATGTGCTAACCTCATGTGTGACTGTCCGCTCTTCTCTAGTTATTGCCCCAACTCTGACAAACATAACCGTGCCAGAGCCTTTTCTCTGAATCACCCAAATATGTGAAAGAATACTTTCTAAAATAAATTTCTAAAAATTAAAAATCATTTCATTAACTTCCCTTATATTTTCTGCATAAAACAATTGGAGGTTGTTTTTTTTTTTTTTTACCAGACATTTCATAGTGACCATGACTGTTATGGACAAAGGAAAAAACCCACCATTAAACTAGTCCATAATATATGCTTTATTCTGAAGTCCCATGACAGCTGCACAGATAAAAATGTATGGACTCTACTGCAGCGTGTTATCATAAACTGTCAGTGATTAATGACTTATTTAGGTCTGTTTCTCAAAAGAGCAATCATGTGGCTTCAGAAGACTTGGAATACAGTGCATGAATATACTGTAAAATAGTTTATGATGATTTTTTTTATCTCCTTTTGTTTCTTCCATTGAAAAAAAAGAACTGCTTACAAATTAGGACATAAGGGGGAATACATAATGTCAGAATTCTCACTTTGGGATTTTTTATTACTCTCTAACTATCTAGATTTTTCGGCAGTGATATATTCTTGGAAAACATTCTAAAATAAATTATTCTATAAGAAACCACTTACCTCCCATTTTTGTCATCTTTTGAAATAAAGGGAGGGATGGGCGGTCTGCAAAAACCTCACTTTGATGATACAGGCACTCTTTAATGGCATCATAACCATTTAAAATAACAGTCGAGATTCCTCCCAGGTCTAGACTGAAAATCTGGATAATAAAAGGGCAATATTCATTAATCCACTCCTATGCCAAACATATTTCTACTAATGAACGGAGTATAATTAGAGGAGTCGGACTACATTCACCCTCGTGGATACGGTGAAGAAAACGAATTAGGGACGCTGACTCAGCATGTCTTGGCCATTCTACAAAACTTGAGTGCTTAAGCGCTCTGCCAAAAATGCAACGCTAAATGCAACACTCTTTTGTTCCTTTCAAATACACTTCTAGCGACGCGGCGCTTCAAGACTAACGCTCCAATTCACTAGCACGGACCAATCAGATGTGAGCTCAACGAGGGATACCAGCAACAGTAAATTAATGTATAACTGTCGAACTTCAGTTTTATAATAATAATGATAATAATAAAAATGCCTGCATGCAAATGCATCTGTAATTAATCTCTGCAATTACAGAAAAATTATTTTGCCACAATAAGTAGCAAACATTGCACAAAACATTTTTTTTTTTTTTTTACGATAGTAGTTAGACAACTAGTGCGGACCATTATGATTTATTATTAAATAATAATAATAATAAATCATATATATATATATATATATATATGTTATATAATTTATATGTATATATAGGCCTATGTAAATATATATGTAAAATATACGGAGATAAATAATATATATAGCCTATATATGTAGGCTATATATATAGGTATATATATTATTTATCTCCGTATATTGTGTGGCTAGAGGAGCAGCTCTGCAGCGCGCGTCAAAAAAAGAAACTCAAGGCGAGTGGCGATGCGCCGCAAGGGACGCTTCCATTGTAGACAGTTTCATTGATTACAAGACAGTAAGATGCATTACAATATTATGCATAATTATTATTATTTAGTGGCTTAAAATAACTTTTTTTAAAAAGAAAATCCATACAGTGACAACAAAAAAATATTAGCAAAAACGTTAAAAGCAGCCAGTTTGACAAGTCTACTGTATTGCATGTTACGTGATCATGTGCAAGTAAATAAGAAAAATTGAGGAATGAGAGTGAAGTGTCATCCGTACCTGTCCGTGGATATCACTCTGCCTCTTCATGTAGACGTGAGGCTCGGTGGCTAGGGATAGAATATTCCCTATCAGGGGTAAAGGTGTCGGTCCAGGGGGAAACCCTCGGGGTCTCCGCTGCTTTAGGAGCTTGCAAATCACCACCAAAATGAAGAGTGTAATGAACAAACTACCCAAACATACGAGCGTTTGCTCCCAAGACACAGAGAGCAGAGATGTCAACCGTTTAATCGATACCATTTTAGATAGGCTACTTAAACACTTTGGGATAATCTGTGCTTTCTGAAAAGTTTCCAGAGCTCCGTTCTCTGTCAGACAGTGTATTAGGAGATCATCTTGCACATGTTGCTCTATATCCCCCGCCTCTTAAAGGCTAAGATTGGCTGGCGGGAAGAGCGCTTTTGGATTAACTTGTTTGATTAAACGGTGGTCAGATTGATTCGCGAGAATTCAGACAAATTTCTTTTCATTAGGGCAGATGTTCACAAGTACGTTTCCAAGCGGGGTTTTCTTTGTATTGGAGAAACTTGCAACATAAATGGCCACGCCCACCCATGTAATCCAAAAAAGGACTTTGCAGTGGAAAAACCTTCTCTTCTTTGAACTAGTGACTAATTCATCGAATCTTTTGAATCTGTTCATTCAAAAAGACTTGCTCATTTATTCATTCACTACCCCTTTTTGCGGTTAGGCTACATCGTAGCGCCCATAGGTTAATTGTGACAGGCGACAATATTTTTGTTTAATAATAAGTTAACCGTTTCCTGAATCGATTCATTAAATAGCAGACGACGGAAAGGTTAAGTCTACTTAAAAATTAAGAAAAGGTGTCTAGCATCAAGAGATGTCCCCACAAACTACAACACGTCTATCTTTTTCCTATTTCCTACTTTGCGACTAGGCCTACTAAAAACTACCCGCGGGCGACCGGTGTTCTGAAGATTTGTGCTGCCTTTTCGAAAAATGTTTTTTTTTTTTAAATGCAACAGTTTAAAAAAGTACATCGACTCATTCAATGGAGGGGGCGTGTCCGTTTAGTAGTTCCTTCCAACCAATGAGATGCTCCTTCACAGCTCGCACTCGTCTCGAATGATATTTGCTTTTTGCTCTTGCTTGCTAGTCAGTCTGCTGCTAATGCTTTGACTACTAATGCCGCGTTCCAGGCAACCTGTAACCCGTGTTTTTCCAACCTTATACCCGTGAAAGTGCACTGGAACGGCAGTCAAACCCGTGACTTCCCACCCGTAAACTCGTACTAGATCGATGTACTCCCAGTTACGAGTTGAAAAAACACGGGTTACAGGTTGCCTGGAACGCGGCATAAGTCAACGGTCCAGTTGTTTGCATAGGTTGTTTGTCGTTATAAACTTTGAAGACAGGAAATCACTTTATTTCGAAAGGCAGAATATTTCGAAAGGCAGAATCGTGCGTTCCATTCGACAGGGTTCCTACGCAGTAACGTTACATCAGTTGAAGCAAAGAGTATAGAAGAAATGGAACGTATTTGAACTAGTCGTATTATACAAGTCAAATGGAACGTATTTGAAGTGAGCGCAAAATATGAGTCAGTTAGAAGGTAACGTGAATTATTTATTCAAAACACTAATTCGTTCACGAACCGAATATCACTAGGCCTAGTTTGAATTCTTTGAGTCACTTACCATTTATAATATGAGTTTGGGTGAAGTTCCGAAGAATTCGAAGATTTACGATCGTTTTAAAATAAATTAGTCCGCCTGGCTTTTTGCTTTTTTCATGAAAAGTGAGAGAAACAGACAGTGCTTTGCAAACAAAACCAGTTTTCGGGTCAGACACGTTTGCACTGTAGGATTTGTGCTACAAACTTTGACCTTATTTGAAACTAACGTAACCCTCCACTCATGTCAGCATTTTGTCCTGCTATTTTAAGTAAGACCTGCAAGTTCGCAGCACGTTTATCAAGACACCATATAGGCTTATACAAAAGCACCCAGTTTAGCCTAATTAATCAGCACATATGAATTGTGATCGTTTTTATTATCCGTACGGTTATGCTAGTGTATTATTTAAACGTTATGCTTCTGGACCACTGTACTCGTTCAAAAAGCATGTAAAGGGTTAAATAATATTATCATGGGCTATGCACTGCAGAATCTTTTATATTTAAAACTCAGTTTGTCATAACTATTGTAATGTAGGCTATTACTCTTATTTAATTAGGAAATTGCTTTCATATTAATTGCTTTTTTTTAGAACCAACAGTTGAATTCAAGACAGTACAAAACATTTCCATTTCAAATTGTGCACAACAACCACCAAATTAATGAACAAAAAATAAAATGAACAAATAAATTAATAAATAGTCTTATGTATATGTTATCAATAAACAGCGCCTCGTAAAAAAAGCGAATTGTGCCTGCAGAATGGCATAACACTCATCTTAATTGCAGCCTATATAAATTGCATGAGCTTGTATTTATAAACTGTGTTAAGTGGGAAATGCTGTCTTGAGAAAATAATAGTTTTGAAAAGAAAACAAAGCATGTCTTTCCACAACACAGGAATCATACCAACCTCTGTATGTTTTTATACTTTTAAAGGATAAGTGAATGAAGTATCAGAGTGTTAACTATAGCAATCATAGGCTACTAATTTGATCATAAATCCTCCTGGTTTTCTCAGTAGAAATGTGATTTTCCACATTGTTGATGCTCTATTACATGGTGTCTTTGGGCTTTATTATCTATGAAGTTTGAGCCCTTCCATCGGTATTGATAGATACATCCAGCAGGTCTCAGGGGATTCTGTTTCAAAGACTGCAGTGTTTGTGATAAATAATGAGGACATCTAGAACATTCAATATATCCTCCCATAAGAAACACTTCTAATTATGGATTTGGTATAGCTGAGGGAAAAGTCAGTCAACATAAATTAATCAATAAAAGGAATTTGAGGCCTCAGAGGAGCAACGGCATATTGAAAAGAAATCCTTTGCAGTGATTTTTGCAAAAGACAAGGCTGAAACCGTAATTAGTTTCAGAATTCACAAATAGCTGTTTCCTGTATATTGCATTTTTTTTGTAGTGTTGCACATACAGTAAGCAGTTTTGAATGGGCTCAGCTAATACCCATCAGAGGCGTCTCAGTCATTCTTTTTGTTAGTCCTTGGTGTTGGTGACTTGGTAGCGTGCCAATCCCAGTCAGATGATGCCATTGGTTGTTAATGTAGCCTAAATAAAAGGATGGTGTGTGATTAGTAAAGCACACAGATGAGATTATGATGAACTCTAACTCGCTAAGGAGGGTTGATTGATAAGCAACACTCAGTGATTAAATCTCATTTCCTTAATGTCTAAGGATGAACTGTGCTGGCTCCTCGATGACCATTTAGTGCTACTCATTGTCTCTGAGAGGGTTATGGATTGTGTTTAGTTTTCCTCTCAGAGTCATTACAAATCACACTTAATCCCTGCTCCGTTCCGTCTGCAGGTGTTTAAACAGCCACGCAGACCAAAAAAGCTGTGTCGGGCGTCTCATGCACCATGATAACAGCTACCGTATGAAACTGATGCCGTTCCTCAAATGAACTCTGAAGGATGTCTCACATACGTAGGTGCATAGGCATATGCAGCCCATGAGCAAACATAATCTAAAAGGACATTGTCTGCTTCAAAACAAAATGATTATCTGTCTTCTGAAATAACTTACAGAAGGCTGGCTGGAGTGAGTGATGAAAGCATGACCAAATTTGAAAAGGTTACAGTATTGACTCCAAAGTTTCATGCAGGAAAGGAAAACTCTCGACTTTGTTTGCTTACTCACTGAACTATGGACGTGGTGCGTCTCAGCAAAGTGTTCCTCTAGAGGAAATGACCTTTCATTAGGCTGGAGTTCATCACGCGTGCAAGTGTAGTTTGCGTCCATAGCATGGGTCCCTGGTCCTGTCACGTCGCCCAGATTTACTGATTCCGTCATTGGCGCAGCTTTGGGTTCGATAGCACTAAAAGGCTCATCCAGACTAATGGGGTTCCTATGTGACGCAAACACTGTCTCTTAGTGGAAATGGTTTATTAGGCCTTAACCAATAAAGAAGAGAAGTCAGATGATGCCTCAAGACAAAGACTTCTGTAATTGGGACTGAGATAGAAGGCTTGTTATGGACGTAACCTCTTTGATTCTGACAAAGGGTCACATCATCACGGAAACCCAAATAAGGACAAGAGCAATGTTGCAATTGATCACACGCATTATTACAGGATACACAGTTAAAGGGTATTCGAGTTTGTTTTCTGCCATCAACATTTGTCTGGCACGTAATTTGAAATGGATTTTACGAAAATGTCACACATAATCCATTTGGGTTTTTTTTTTTCCCTCTCTTAAAATAGTTTCGTGTATGTGCTTTACACAAGGTTTTATAAACAATTATCAAAAGTATCATTTTAGAAAATTATACTTGAAGAATAAAGCAGGAACAGAAGTATGATACCAACTTTATATGTGTGATAGAGCCATATAGATAGATAGATAGATAGATAGATAGATAGATAGATAGATAGATAGATAGATAGATAGATAGATAGATAGATAGATAGATAGATAGATAGATAGATAGATAGATAGATAGATAGATAGATAGATAGATAGATAGATAGATAGATAGATAGGAGAGTTGAAGAGATACGATAGATTAGGTTGGTACTAAAAATTATCACAACAGAAAAACAGATCATAGACTTTCTTTAAATAGTTCCCTTACTTTTTAAAAAAAAAAACGGTATTGAATTTTGCTGATCACTGGTGAATTTTTGTGAATGGAGCAGTTTGTGATTGAAGAATGACGTCATTAGTGTGACACACTCTTTATCATTTTCCAGAAGCCCGAGGACAATCTGATTGGTTGGATGAGGGAGCAGTGAGCTCTGGTTGGCTGTCGGAGAATCATTAAACACCCACACTGTCAATAGTGAGACCCACATGGTGGGTATATAGGCAGGTGTATTGTAGCTTAATGCAACAGACTCAAAATTTCATCAAGTTGAAATATCCCCTCTATTTTGGGACGACTCTTTTCTATACTCTATCTATTGCACGAAGCTGAACATCTCAAGGTAAGTAACAACTATTTATGGCTTGACACATAATAAATGTGCCATGCTTTTTATAAATCTCAATATACTGTACCATAGATGTGTGTAAGTAATAAAATAAAATGTTAGGGAGAGCTTAATGGTATATGCATTACTCTTTGGCTCTGTAGTTGCACAGAGAGGCATGCTCGATGGATTTTTTTTTTTCAAGGAGAATTGGACGGCTACTTAGACCT